GTATTATAAAGAGGAAACCTCAAATTTTATTTGAAAATTGAGATTTCCCAGCTAAAAAGAAACAAAACTTTGCTAGCTCACAGGGAAAATCTCAAAATCTTAAGGCGTTTTCCCTCAAAATCAGTTTTTTTGTTGCTACTACTCAAAAAAGTGCTTCCAAATATAGTTTTATGATTATACAGTATTTCAGACAATTCATTCAAATGATACATTGATAAGGCATTTATTCATTATGTTTTGACAAAATGCAATTTTTGTTAACATTTTAATCAAAACACTATATTTGCCTATTTCTCCATATACCACTTTTAGACTTAATCCTCGTTTTGATGTGATGKSTCATATATCTTCTCTTAAAGCAGTATTAGTGATTTACTTATTAGACAGATAGCCATGCAGTGTAGTGAAGCATATTTGTGTGACGTTTCTAATCAGAATTTATAGAGAGAAAAAATGTGATGTACTTTTTAAATCCCTATAGGTAAAATCATATAAGTAAATAGTTAATTGTGTGCAATTTGTGTTTGTTTTCTTAAATGCATACAATAAATCTATAGCAAGCTGAAAAATTGCTAGTGTAATATTTCCTTTATTTCTTCTGAACGTACAATGCAACATTACAAAGAGCCTGTATGAAAGCAGGAGGATTATTCTGTGTTGCTAACTGTGTATCTGTTGTCTTTTTTTTAATACTTTATTGCAGACTCATCTGCTGCTACTGAGGTTCAAACACAACCTGAAGCTGCAGTCTTAAAACACAAGAAGAACTTTAAGATCTGGTTCAGTCCACGCAGTCGTAAGGTGCGCTGCAGGGTAGAGAAACCTTCAGAGGTCGATGTATCAGACGGTAAATCTGCTGAAGTGGCTGCAGCACAACTAAGCACCACTACTGCTCTGTGCCAAAACATGTCGGTTTTTAATTTTACTTCATCCTCCCAGGACTCTTCTTCTTCTTCTCACAAATGCAGCAGTGTAAATAAAAAAGGAAAGAAGAGGTCGAAGAAAACCGCCACCAGCAAGCATGTGCAAAAAGCAACTAGAGCCACACTTAGAGAGACAAAGCAGAATAGAAAGAAGCAAAAGTTGGAGGCCATAAACCAACAATGGGGAATAACAGAGGAAGAGACTGTTCCATCCAAACTGGAGCAGCCCTGTGCTGATGGAGAGAGAAGGTCCAGTAAAAAGGTTTCTTTCCTAAGTCCTGTCACCTCTGATGTGTCTCAGCTTGAAGCATCACATGGTAACACAAATGAACTCCATCCTGCCAGCAGTGCAATAAAAGACAGTCTCTCAGAAAGCAGAATCAATGCCTCAAATTACCAAACTCAGCCTGGTCAGAGCACATCGAACGAGAAACCATCTGCAAATGACTCCCATCCTGATGACAGTCCAGAGAAACAGGAAAACTCATCTCCTCCTGAGAATCCATCGAAAAGGAACAGAACAGAGGCAAAAACCTGCACCTTGGAGAATACACCAAAAAGGCCGAGGGCGTCTCCGGGCCAAAGGAGAAAATCACTGGGTCGGACATCTTTGTCAGTCATCAACCATTTATCTTCACCCAGGAGTGATAAGAGCAGCAAAAACTCTAGAAAGGAAAGGGGCAGTCCCAGCAAATCTTCGGGTAGTCCCGGATCATCTGTCGGGCGGCCAAGTTCCGGAAGTCCTGCAGTAATGAAGAGAAACCACAAGGGAGAGACCCTGCTGCATCTCGCTGCGATAAAGGTTAAGAAGTTCCTCAATTTTTTTCATTTTTTTATATTAAAAGTGAAATAAAGATGCAAACCATGCTATTTTTATTTTCCTCACTTTTTTTATGTAGCACGAATAAACTCAGAAATCTTCCTTAAGATTTCTTAGTTCTAAGATAAGCCAACCATGTTCTGCTTTAAGTAATCCTTGTGAACATAGTCATAATCCCTCTCCGCATCCCAGACAAAGTAATCAATGGCCCTCTGTGGAGTCTGATTAATAAACCAAAGGGTTCTGATTAACCAGGATCAGCTGTTTGTTTTAGAGGTCCGTGAGTCTCAACTCCAGCTTCTTGTCCTCTCTCGGCCCTGTAGGGAGATACGGAGGCTGTCAAGGAACTGCTGGACCAAGGAGCTGACCCCAACCTGAAAGACAATGCTGGATGGACACCTCTGGTAAGTTGTTAAAAAATGTAGCAACAAAGTTTCATTTAGGAAAACAAAACATTATTTAAACTTAGTTTTTCTACATATTTTTTGTTTTTTTACTCGTGACTTCAGTTAGTCAAATAAAGGCTACAACGTCTCAGTTAGTTCTTGAAGAAAAAGCCATATTTTATGCATAAATTCTAATCTTAAAATGAATTGGTCCTTTTTTTATTTTTTCTCCGCAGAAAGACACAGAATTTCCCTTTTATTTGTTGACCTTTTTTTCTCATTTCTTTTCTTTTAAGAGAAAGTGTCAGTATTTTTATATCTAACTTTACTACAGCACTTCATGCAGCTTCTAGCTCCGCTCAAACTTGAGTATTCAGTTTAGGTTCTGACAGTTGGCACATAATTTTTTTACAATGAGATTAGAGCTTGAAATGTTCCATTTTTGTACACTTCTATACAGCATTGTGAGGCTGGGAACTGTTTGAGTTGAGATGCCCCAATCATTTAAAACTCCCCGGCGTGTCTTTTTCCTGCGCTGTTCTTTCAGAACCATTTTAAATACTTAACTTTTTGCTAGTTTACTGAAATAAAATGAGGATTTACAAGAGTCTGCTTTAMCCATGTTTGACAACCATTAAATAACGAAACAGATTTCAATGTGCTATTTACAGATCTGCAGATTTCCATTCTTGTGAGCAAAACAAATGTTTTCTTTTTTTTTCTTTTTTTACTACAACAGATGGTCAGCACTAAAGAAAATTGAATACATCCCAGATTTAAATGAAACAGTTGGAAATGATGGGAGGCATGTTTAATTTCCAGCCAGTTGTATTAAAATAATACATTTTCTTTTTTTAATTAAAAAAAAAATGTTAATTTTTACACTTTTGTAAGGAAGAGCTCATTAATAACTCAAGTTATGATTCAAATTAACAACTACAGCAACAAAAGTAGCTTTTATATAAAGTACATGCAAGTGAAATATGCACATTGAAGTATTTTTTTAATGCTTCACCATCACCCTAAAAAGATTAAAAAAAAAAGAACATATAGATCTGAGCGTGGCATACGAATTGTTTCTTACAGTATAATTTCGGGTTTGATCTGAATGACTGTTTCAGCATGAAGCGTGTAACCTTGGCCACCTGCCAGTTGTGGAGTTGTTGGTCTCCAGGGGGGCCTTGTTAAACACACCTGGCTATGAAAACGACTCTCCACTCCACGATGCCGTAAGGAACGGACATGCAGCCATTGTGAAACGGCTACTGCAGCTCGGGGCTTTGCAGAATGTCCTGTAAGTTGTTTTGCATATCTTTTAAACTTTATTGTTTTTATTCATGATGTGCTTTTGTTAGTTTGCCACATTGTAAAGTTTTTTTCGTTCTTTACACAAAGATGGGGTTGTGCCCTCTAGAGGAGGAGCACAAGCAATTATGTGGTTCACGTTTCATATGAAAACTTCTTTTTAAAACAAATCTTCATAAAATTCAACTTTTTTTTATGTGTTTAGTCGGGTTACTCAAAAGGTTGTCACAAAAGAAACCAAGCGTTTTAAGGTAACATTTTCTGTCACTTCGTCATTGCATGATAAAAATGCCTTTTCCCTCCAGACCTGCACATTTTTGTCTGTTTCTCTAAGTAAATAGTAAAGTGCCCTTTTCTGAGTCACTGAAAGACATTTTGGCCCTATTTGTAGTCATGAGCAGGGGTGTAAAGAAGTGCTATGAGTAGGTGGACAGATGCAAGGCTGGTGCTGATTATCAGTTTGGTGAAGCTATATCAACATTCTTGTTTTTCTCTGTGGAGGCAGTGTCAATGGGTCACACATTGCTAATAATGAGGTAGAAAAAGTTGAGTAATTATGAGTTGATCAGGATCAGTTTGGACACTAACCATCATATACCATCTGTTATCTATTGTCCATGTGTTTGCTGCACTGTATTTTGTATCTTTTCATCATATACTGTACTTTCTTCTTTGTAGCTTACTTGTCTATAAGGCAAAAGAGTCAGTAATTTAGACAGTCTGGCAGACGAATGCAATCTTTGTCCAAATTTCTCCTATTATCAAGCACATTTGCACACACGCTCAAGGGCCAAACAAAGACAACATCAGTTACTTTCAGAAACTAAGGTCTATCTTGAGCAAGATTACAGCTGGCATTGCAAATATCTGAAGGATTGAAGTCAAGTCTAACTCGTTCTGTGTTGAACACAGTTGACCATTTCTTATTTGGTACAGCTCATTGACAAACATTAAAAACAAAACACAAGCTTACTCCTTAATTACAACTAAATACAAGTATTTTAAATTGTCACAGTTGTGCTATAAAACTATATGAACCAACAGAAGTCAACAATTTAATTGGTGTATTTGTTTTTTATTTGTTCACATGAACTAGACTTATGCTTTGGAAAGTCTACAGAAGGTGATTGGGCCCTTTTGCAAGAACATGTTCGTATTCTTATCCTAAATTTCTCTTACTTTTGTTCGTACAAAGGGTTCGTACGAACATGTCACGTCAGATT